AGATTTGCTTTGGATTATTTTGTGTGTATTTATTTTGTATATGCTGATATATACCTATCTCCCTCTGTGGAAGCTCTTTAATAGCAGGGGCTATTGGACTTTTGTTTTTATCTCCTAGCCTAGAGTCTAGTACATAGTGAATACTTAAGGACTGTTTGATAGGTGCAAGGCTGCAGAGTGCATTTGATTGAATTCTTTAAGCATGCATTAAATGCTTTGGCTACCTGCAAAGCAATGAGATGAGATAGAAATTGTAGATAAAATAAGTCTCATTGAACTTAGCCCTTAATGGGTTGTTATGTTACATGGTACAAAATAAAAATTTTAGAATGAGAATTATCTGGGAGATGCCTTTATATGTATTTTATACAGTATCTAACCTATGCTAGGCAATCAGTAAATGTGTAGTTCTGATCATAATGATGACCACACCACACTTTCTAAATGGGTTTACTACTGATTCGACAGATAAAATAGTCCTGTACTCAAAGGTGGGTAAATATTATACAAGATGATTCAGAAAAGAGGTTTTTTTCTTTCTATATCTTATAAAAAGGAATAATAGCTTGTTCCTTTGATTACTATGCTTGAGCTTATACTTTGGGCATGCTTTGGGATGTACATATACATTCCTAAGATATAAATGTTCGTGTCAACATTTAGATAATATTCAAAACTCTAAAGCAAAGTCATATACTCTGAGGGGCAACTTTGTTGTTAAGAAGACCAGTCTTCACATCCCACCTCGAAACACATAGTGGATGTATGACCCTGGACAATCACTTCACCTCTCTCTGTGCCTCAGGCAACTCTTGAATAATATAAGTTGTCAAAGAGTTGTATCAATATGTAGTGGTGCAAGGAGTTTTCCTCACTGGGATTTCTCTACAACAGTGAAATCACAGGTACATGTACACACACACACACACACACACACACACCACTGCTGTTGCTGCTTTGTTAATTTTTTGTTGGTTTTGGCATGTTTATGAGTGGTTTTTTTTCTGCCAAATTTAAAATGCATAAAGATTTGGAAAGGAAGGGACATTTCTATCAGATGTGCTTGAAAAGAGCTACTGGTGAGCTGGCCCTGATTTTGACGACATAAGATCACTTAACAATGTGTCAGTGAAGGATATGACAAAAATGCATTTTTGTTCCTTACGTTCTCCTTGTACTCAGGTATACTACAATATAAATCCTGTAATTAATCGTGTCATATATTAGTGGAGGAAGGAACAAGAGAACTAGGCAGTCAGAAAGAGTTATGTGAGACACACAGTGTTGTACATTCTTTAGCAGAGAAGGTGGGTCCTAAGTTTTCTCAAAATAGCGACTTCCTAACAAGTTTACTTAGACAGTATGGCATTGTTCATTGTGACTAATGAATTTTAGGAAGAATTTGGGAAGCCAGAATTCCTTTAGAGCAGGAGCTCTTAACTTGGGGTCTGTGTACTTTTTTGTAGACAAATAGCTGTATTTCAATATAATTGGTTTCCTTTTCAATCCTATATGTTTTATTTGATGCATTTAAAAGCATGATTTTGAGAAGGGTTTCATAGATTTCGCCAGACTGACCACCAAAGGCATTCATTGCACAAAATATGTTAAGAACCACTGCTTTAGAGGACAGCATCCTAAATAATAAGGGGACTCAAAACCGTGTATATGAGATTGGTCAGAGGAAATGGGGATGCTTAGCCTTAGATGTAGAAGACAGTTGTGGGACAGAGTAAATTGATTGCTTCCTTAAAGTATTGTAATGTTTGTCCAGTGGATAAGTTCTGCTCTGCCCTTATAATTCAAGTTGTACAATGTAAAATAAAAGAAACAGGTCACCTCACTAGGCAGCGAGTCTGTCACTGGAAATTTCCAAGCAGAGACTAAATGACTGCTTGTTGGGAGTGTGGTAGAGTTGGGGACTTCTCCATGGCCTCTGGGGTCTCTTTCAAAGATTTCATGATTCTGTGAATTGGGATATTTATTATTGAGTTGTCTCAATTAAGCTAATAACTCATTTAAGCCATTTTATTTCTTTAGGGACTTGCTAAGAAAATTATAGATGATTTTTTTTTCATTTTAGAAAATTAAGTCTCAGTGCTGCTGAATTATGTGACCTGAATTCTTCTCCCAGTGTTTTGTTTTGTTTTAAAGGTAGGGCAGATGAGTCTAGTGACTTAACAAAAGCTTTACCCAGGGAATTTTCAGTACATAAAACTTAAACCTCTGTTATATAAGATTTCTACCTATAGAAAATGTGTTTAGAAGAAACGAATACTGTTAAGGCACAGCCTGGGCTTGTTAAACAAGATGGTGTCGATAATCTTTGTGCTCAGGCTTAATGTTGATGAAAACTTTTCAGAGCTTTTTCATAAATATCGCAACTTGGAGAACAGTGATAGTAAGATGTATTTTTTTTCAAGAAGGGAGAAAATGGCAAAATAAGGAGAATTCTATTTTCTTTCATGTCTTCAAGTTAAAAGTTAGGCTTTCCTTAGAGCAGTGTGTATTTTCTCACAATCAAATGATGAATACTTTTTTTAAGAGACCTGACACAACTGTGAAGCATTGTCAGGCATAAAAAAATCAGTCCTAGCTAGCTGCCTTGACTACTTCTTGAGTCCTGGTTCTTAGCCCTACCCATTCTGAGAGGCTGAGGGTGGCAGCCAATGAAAATCTTAGGGAATGCAGCATGGGATCTATAATCAGAGAAGGATGCCTGAATTCTAGTGCCACACCACTCTGCCCCATCACTCTGTGATCCTTAGACATTTCACTTGTTCTTTCTGTGTGTTAGTTTCTTCACCCCTAAAATTGTAGGATTGCTCTACTGTATGATCTTGTATCTCTTACACCCAATGATAAGTTTCAGCAGAGCAAGCTAAACTAAATGGAAGAAGCTGAGCATGAGTAACTAAAATGTCTGTAACAAAAGTGTCTGTTCTGTGCTTGTGCTTTATGGTAATTCTTAAACTTCTGTGTGGTTCAGAGGGTCATTTTTTTAGCCATCTTCTAGATGTACGATTTCTGTTCAGTGCTTTTTAAAAATACCATAATCTTGATATTGTGTTCAACTATTAGGTCCATTAGTTTACGCAGAATGTTGTTTGACAAAGAACCTTTTCCAGGTCAGTAAATATAAGGCTGCTCCCTTGAAAGTAATAATGGAGTTTACTTTCTAGTTTTATCTATAGGACTTAGAAGTAGGAGACAAAATGGTGTCATTATTTGGAGACTAACCTGATAATTCACCCGCAGCAGCACTGATACCTGAAAAGCAGAAATGGGAAGAAAATGTTAAAATGTGTTTTTATTATTGTTTATTTTAATGAATTTGTCAAAGGCAATTTTCCCATTAATTAGTATCAGTATCTAAAAATATAGAGTTTTTTGGTTCTTGACTATTCTTCTGACCTTCCAGAGTTTGGATCATTTTTCATCTTCAACTATTCCATCTTTGGAGTTGTGATACTAAGCTCTTCATAGTCTAAAAGCTACAGTTTTAGGAGAGCTTGTTCATTAATGTCTTTTAAGTGTTTCAAGATCCTTAAGTAGAAAAAAAATCATGAGTTTGTTATCATGAGACAAAATATGGCCCACAATCGTGAAAACTAATTAATTTTGTTTTTTTTAAGAGAGAAGAAGTTTCTTGGTTTTATTACTGTATTAATCTTTGCAATGTTTGTTAACAATTATTACAAAGACAGACTTGCTGCAAGACATTTGTAAAAATGTATCAGATTTGATTGTTTATCCATCTGTGTTCCTAATGAAGTTCTATGTTTCTTAATACAATTCTTCATCATAAAAGGGATGTCTTGCAAACATGTTTTATTTTCTCTCTGAACATCTGCTTGCTCATTCCTTTTGGCTTTGAAGTGAAACAGATCAATTTCTAGTTTTAAGAAGAGTCAGCTTTAAATTGCTTTGAGGAAGAATTCCATGCCTTGATCTACTACTTAATGGTAATTTGATGAATTGTACACACACATAGTGTGTGTGTGTGTGTGTGTGTGTGTGTATTAGCGTATACATCGATAAAGAGATAATTTCTCTAAATATAGACATATGTGATATATATAGATATAGATATAGATATAAATAAAGAGGTAATTTCTTTATATAAATATAGAGATATATAAGTACACACACACACACACACACACACACACACACACACACAACCAATACACTTTATGCCAGGTCAGTCACATCACAGATATTTCCATAATATGAGGAACTATAATTCCTTGCGTAATCAAGTCTGTGAGTAGGCTAAATCACGAATGGGTTATATGTTTTTCATGTATCAAAAAAATACAATCTTAAGACAAATGGGAGTTTAGAAATGGTAGAATCCAGTAAATTTTGTTCCTTTTCTTCTTCAATAGCATACTAGTTTTAAAATCTTTTCTCAAATTCAAAACCTCTTAATTTGAAAGGACGGTCACAATAATTTTATAGTATTTGTTTGTTAGTAAAACTTTTTCAGTACCGTAACAGCTTCTTTCTAATGCTCTTGCATGTTTCTAGTTTACTAATTCTGATCAATTCAATGCCATAACCGCTATAATTAGTATATTGTTATACAATTGTTCTTATCTCAACTAAAGCATAAAAACATGTAGTTTATGAACAGAATTTATATTAAAGGACCAGCATCTTCTTCCATTGCCCATCAGTTTGTTTTGTTCAGTTCCTTAAGGTCCGAATGCTATGATCTGATGCATGTGACTCCCTTTTGAGTAGCTGGGAGTTTTATACCCATATCTAAAGGTAGAATTTGACCCAGAGCCGTTTCAAAATACCAGGAGTTATGTCTTTAGAATATTTCAACAATATCAATCTAATAGGACACCTCTTCCTGCACTTTCATTTGGGGCCATAAGAAATGTGAAAAGGTAGTGCCAAAATTTCCTAAATACAAACTCTTTAAGAAATGATATCTTTTCATTGAAGTTGAAGAAACCTCTTCCAACATTGTCACACACCGTTTTCAGATAACAGTAGTGAAAAGCTGAGCCCAAGACCAGGGGCAGGTGAGCCAGTTTTAAGTTTACACTACAGCACAGAAGGAACAACTACAAGCACAATAAAACTGGACTTCACGGACGAGTGGTAAGTGCAACTTTCACAAAAATGTTCTTTGTCGTTCTGAAGAATTGTTTCTAAAGCTGACTTTAAAATTGGTTTGGTTTGGTTTTCCATTATTACTGAGTAAGAACCTCATTTTCTAATGTTATCTGGGAAGTAGATATTGTAAGTAAAATTTCCAGGCATCTGCAGCTTACTATTTACATGCCAGAACATTTTCATGTTAACCATTTTTGATGGAAATCTTTTTCAGTCACCTAATCTTGATAAGGCATTTACCACTTAGAAACTGACAGTGGCTCTTTGTAGCCTACCAAGCAAAATGTAAGCGCCTCAACATGGTGGCTTTCATAGTATTGGCCCCAGTCCTTTTTTCAGAATTATCTCTCAATTTTCCAACCACAGTCAATATCACTTAACTCATTATTCCTTAAACATGTCCAGTAATTTCCTGCCATTATACCTTTGCTCATATTGTTCTCTCAACCTGGAATGCCTTCTCTTCCCGAATATATACTTGTCAAAGTCACACCTAGCTAAAATGCCACCTCCTTTATGAAGCTATATGGTATTCTTGCAATCAGATGATATTTTTCTTCCCATAACTACCCATTGTACTTTTTTTGGTACCTTTTTATGGAGCTTTTAATAGCTTGTCTTGTGCTATATAATTGTTTCTTTTGACCCTCATACCTGACAAGAAACTCCTTGAGGGCAGGAATCCTGTCTTATTCATATTTGTATACTTGACAGTGCCTGCCACAATGCCTTTCAAATAGTAAGCACTGAACACATTTACTTAATTAATTTAACTGTGTTGAATGTCAATGATTGTACTGTGATGTAATGAAGTTAATATGGCAGAGAAGCTTCTCTCGAAGGCTATGCTGGGGAGAAAATCTCTGGCAGGTCCTACCAAGTAGGAAGGCCTTCCAGTACTCTCAGACTATCTTCTAAAAAGAGAGAAAAGTTGAAGACTTCATCAATGAGAAGTAAATACCTTCACTGACAAATCCTTGAAATTTTGACATATTTAATGAAGGAATAATTCTGGTATTCAACTTTAAAGAAGGAAAGAAACTCCTAGATGTGATCAAAGAATGATTAGCAGTAATAGTATAACATTCCTTTAGTTGCTGCATCCATATGCAGCTATAAGGTCTCCACTTTAAATTTTTCAAACAGTATGTAATGATATAGATATTGAACATTTCTAGAAATCTATATTTCTCTACCTCCAAATTTTCTCTCTAGATTTTTAAGTCAGTGGTTTGGATAATGCAGGCAGGTCTAGCCAGAGCATCACTGCATCACTTAACTAGGCAGTCTGTTCAGATTTTCTACTATGTTGTGATGTAGCACCGGAAGATATTATTTCATTCTATGTCAGTGGCCTCTCCATGGGTTTTTTAAAGGTCTGATGCATGTGTGTGTACATGCATAAGCTCCTGTGATAAAAGATGTTAAAATCTAATATTAATGAAAAATTTTAAAATGACCCTTCTTAGATTATTATACTGTTTTTAAATGTGTTTAAGCTAGCAGGAAAATCTTGACCCTTGGTCTTTAAACCTAGATTGTAGCTCAGAACATTTTTGTTCTAGTTTCTTTTCTGTGCTTTTTGCCATCGTCTTTACCTTGGTGTCAGTTAATCAAAAGGGTTGGTTTCTTATAAAAGAATCATTTAACTTCTGCATCATGTGATCAAGATGAGGGGCTAGACATTTTAGTTGACCCTTATGACCTTTCAAAACTCTGCAACATGGGAGTTAGATAGCTGAATAAAATCCTTAATAGAGGATACCTAAGGGAAAAGAAAGGGAAAGATCTTTTTTCAGAGTTAGGAGAAGGTACTACTGATGAATGCTCTTGTGGAGGAAAAAAGATGTTCTGTAGGGGGAGATGGGGTCCTTGTTGTGGGTGTGGTTTGTAGGAATTTAGTGTGTAGAGAGAGACCATTCATGAAAAGGGGAGTCGGACATCCTGGGGACAGATGACACTTGTGGTCCCACGAAGGAGATTGCATGGCAAATGGGGGGCAAGGATTGACCATGGCAAGGGCAATGCTTAATAATAAACTGAAAATCAAGGATATAGGAAGATTCCTACTATGGGCCAATATCCTCCTTATTACCTTCAAGAATTGATATTTCTAAGAGTGAGGTGTAACAGAAAAAATGTGTAAGGGAATAAAATGTACAAAGCAATAACATAGAAACTTTTTAGCAGAGGGAACCCAAAATAGATACCTTCTAAGCTTTAAATACATGAGGAATATGGAGACTAAAGAAGGATCAAATTAGTATTAGGACCATGAATCTAACAATAAATGTCTAGAATAGATAGAAAGGGAAGGTAGATAATGAAGAGAGTAAGGGCAAGAAATCCTTCTTACAGAAAGGCACAGAAAATGAAAATTTAAGGGGAAGAGAAGAAGGGAGAAGGGGGGGGGATTTTATTTGACTCCAAAAAGAAAAGTGGCATTAAATAACTATAGATAAAAGGAAGAAAGAAAAAGGAGTTAATAAGTAAATTAAACAAATGTAGGGGAAAGGATGACAAATGGGGCTGAGGGAGAGGGATGACTTCAGGGTGAGAGGAAGACAGCCTGTGGGTATAGGGTTGCCTATATATTAAGCTAAAATAATTTGAAGAAACAAAATACTCTCTTTAAAGAGGAAGGGGGCAGGAGATCTTATTTTGAAGAAAAAAATATTAGAGACATGGAGAAGAATACAAATCTGATTCATCACTTTAACTGTGAATGCATTAAATAATCCAGTAAGATGAAAAAGAGTGGCGGATAGAATAACAAAATAAAATCTACAACCTGTTGCTTACAAGAAACACGCCTGTAAAACAAAGACACACAAACAAAGAGCAGGGGCAAATTTATTATTCATCAGGTGAATCCGAAAAAATCTGAGTTGCAATCATGCTGTCAGACACAGCAAAAACAAACATTTACAAAATGAAAAGGAATTAACAAGGAAACTACATTATGCCAAAATGAATCATAGACGACAAGCCAATATCAATATTAAGCTTATTTTGTCCAAATGCTTTAGCATTTAAATTCCTAAAAGAAAAATTAGCTGAACAACATAGGCAGTAATAATACAGTAGTGACAGGAGACTCAATATCCCTCTGTCAGTTTTGGATAAGTCTGACAGGAAGATAAAAGGGCAAAAATAGAATTGAACAATTTGCTGGAGAGTCTAGAATTAAAGTACTTATAGTGCCTTCTAAATGAAATTGTAAAAAAAAATGTTTTTCTCAACACCATGTTGCAAACAAGAGTAAAAAGGCAGAAATAGTAAACATATCGTTTATCAACCATAACAAAATAAAAATAGCAATCAGTTCAGGAAGTACAAATAAAAGACATGTACCCAAATGAAAACTTAAAAATGAAATCCTAAATAATGAGTAGGTCAAAGAACAAATCATAGAAACAATGTATCATTTGATGAAGGGGAATTACATGAAAAAACATACTGAAATATTTGTGATGCAGCTAAAGGAGTCCTCAAGGAAAAATCATATCCTTATAAACATATATCATCAGTATAGAAAAAAGAGGGAATTAATGAATTGAATGTGCATTTTTAAAAATTAGAAAGCCAACAAATAAGCAAACCTAAAATAAGCACAAAAGAGGAGATATTAAAAATTAGGCAAGAAAGATAAACTGGAAACAAAACCCTCTAGAATAATGATAAAACTAAAAGTTGATTCTCTGAAAAAGATAAAAAAATTGATAAACCTTTAACCAATCTGATTAAAAGGCAGAAAATCAAATCAACAAAATAGCAAATGAACAAGGTGAAATTACAACAAAACCAGACTTTAAAAAAAAATCATCAGAACTGTTAAAAAAAAAAAGTCCTGATCCTGGTAGATTCATGAGAAACTTCTATTAAACTTTTAAAAAAAAATTAGTAATAATTCTACCCAGCTTATTCTTTAAAAAAAGAAAACGTCCTACCAGACTTCTTTTATGAGACAATACATAGCCCTAAAACCTAAACCAGGAAAGGATAAGCACAGGAGAACCGTAGACCAATATGATTAGTGAATATCAACTCAGATATTTTTAAATACTTTCAGACTATAGAGGTGCATCATGACCAAGACGGATTTATGCCAAGAATGAATGCAAGGATGATTCAGCATTAGAAAAACAATCAACATGGTGATGTTAGAAATAAAAACATCCAAAACTACATAATTATCTCCATAGATACAGAAAAGGTCTTTGATAAAGTACAACACTTATTTATGTTGAAAATGCTACTAAATGTGAGGCTTTTGAGGGGGGGCCTCTTTTTAATATTATGAAAAATATTTCTAATACCAAAAGCAAGCACCATATGCAGTGGTTATATACTAGAACCTTTCCAAGTAATTACAGGAGGAAAGCAAAGATATCGACTCTTTATGGAACTCTTTGTGATTGAATTTATATAGATATTTTGTAGGCTTCGAAAATTGATCCTCAGATATTTTATGCATTTTGTAGTTATTTAGCATAGGATTACCCTTATTACTGTCTTGATAAAATAATAGAAATCCATTTGGAAAAAAATAAAATATCTAGACATTCAAGGAAATGATGAAAAGAGGTCGAGATTAAGGGGAAATAGCACTTCCAGACCTCGAACTGTAGTATAAAGCAGTAATTATCAAAACCATCTGATATTGGTTAAAATTGGAGAGGTAGATCAGTGGAACAGACTAGACTAGGGAGAATCAGAAACAATGGAATTTAATAACTCAGTGTTCAATAAACCAGAAAATAGGAGTTACTTAGGAAAAAACTCCTTATTTTCTTAAAAACTGCTGGGGAAACTGGAAAGCCATCTGGCAGAAATTAGGATTAGATCAACACCTTATACCATATTCCACATAAGAATGTACGACCTTAGTATTAAAAATCATGCTATAAAAAACTAGAAGAAAAGCAGATCTTGTACTTGTTAAGCTCTGAGTACAATAATTGATGCTCTAAATGATGACTCGGGTCACCAAGAAAAGGTTAAATTATATTGAACATACTTGAAGAAAGCAAAAAAAGTATTCAATGTTTTTAGAAAGATTCCATTAAAAACAAAAGTAATCAAAATTTTGACACTTAACAAGTAAACTTGCTATCTTCAAAATTCATTTATGTGTAACACCTTAGTAATAATAGCTACACAGGTGTTACTTTACTAATTGTGTAAGTGATGCCTTGAAATTATTTCCAAACTCATTTTCTTATATTCTTCATATTGAGTTGTTAACATAGATTTGAGAATAACACAATGGATTGATTCCCCAGAGGGAAAAGTCAGAGGTATCTGTTAATGGAGGAAATATGTCCCATATTTTAGTTTACAAGGGCCAGAAATTGAAAGCTGTTGGCCCTCCCCAATTAATAACAGAAGCCTACACATCAGGGAGGGGAGAAATGGTACATCTGCATCACATGATGTACATGGAATATCTTGGCCTCTTTCTTGATTTGTAAATGCCCTAAAATAGGAAGGACACTAAAGGCTACTGTGAAAGTATTATAAAAGTGATGTGTAGGTATGATTTACACCTGAGTATTTTACTTATGTCTCTAATTCACCTTAATATTTGGAGGAGTGTTCTTCATTAATATAGACATAAAACATATTAACTTTTACATTTAAAATCTTTTTACAACAACTTGGAAGAAAATTGAAACGTTTTCTATTAAGATGTATGTACTTTATGGAGCAGCTAGGTGGCGCAGTGGATAGAGCACCAGCCCTGGAGTCAGGAGGACCCAAATTCAAATGTGGCCTCAGAAACCGATACTTACTAGCTGTGTGACCCTGGGCAAGTCACTTAACCCCATTGTCTAGCGCCGCCCCCAAAAGATATATTTACTTTAGTTATCTCTATGATCATTGTGCTGTTTTTGTTCATTCACATTTACTTCCAAATATAAAAAAAACTGTCTCATGCATTATCAAATTATTTTAGGATATTTCGTTTTATTCTCAAACATAATGTAGATCCCTTAATACCAGGTGTACTTTTCTGATCAAAGAACAGCAGAAGAATATTTGTAATAAAATAGTGAATCTTATCCTCTCCTTCCCCAAAAGTATGATGAAGTTATACCTCAGATACTTGGTATAGTCCTGGTTGTCACATCTCAAGAAAAACATAATCACGCTAGAGGAGAGTCCAGAGAAGGGCACTTATACAAGGGTTTCTGTGCCAAGATTGACTCAGAACAGTGAGACTCTTCAGCCTAGAACAGCAAAGACCAATAAGGTGTAATTTTTAAAGTCTGTAACATCAAAGGGATAATGGATAGGTTGAACCATTTGCCAGGGGCAGGAGAAGGGAGAAAAATAATGTAATTATTTTACATCCAAATTCAGTAAAGATACATCTAGGCATTAATGCCAATAAAACACGTTAACTGGTATTTGATTTTTTTTTTAAACAGGTTCCAGGAATGTAGTCATCCAGATTTGACAGGGGGGTTAGTTGCAGAGGGAAGGAATATTATGATAACTTATGTTATTTCCTGTTGCTATGTGGCTTAGATCATAGAATTTAGACTCAAAAGTAAGCTTGGAAAGTTTACCCTTTATAAGCCAAGTTTAACAGTGGAGTCCTTTTCTGCAATTATACTCCACAACTCTGGTTTCTATTGTAGTCCCTTGCATTAAGAATGACTTTGAAAGCACCCCATACTTTATGATCCCATCCCTTTGAGTCACTCATGGTCTCTTCTGGGGGCAGGAGCAGCACCGCCTCAAGTTCTAGAGGAAGTGGGAGCCACAGCAAACCTGAGGAGCAGGACGCATCTCGGGGCCTCTCAAGCCCCTCACAGCCACAGCCACAGCTGCAGTCTCCAGGCGGGGAAGCCAGTAAGAATTGTTTTCTGTTGTCCTAAAAGTTTTCAGCCAAGTCACTGAGTGGGGAACTTAGGCTTCATGTCATTTGGTCATTCCTGAGCCTGAGGGAAAGCAGACCAGCAGCTTCTGGGAGTTCTCCATCTGCCCAGGTCCTCTCTTGTTTATAGCAGAGGGGGAACACTGAAGTAGGGCTAGAAATAAACTAATATGTCATTGGGAAATGCTGAACAACATAAATAAAAATACAACAGACCACAGATAACATTGCTTTATGCTTTTCTAAGTTAATATGCTGCCCTGAATTTGACACCACTGTTGTAGAGCATACTTCAAATACATCGAATTAGCCCCTGTAGCTATTGTTGGCTCTCTAAGGGTGTGATGTAGTGGCAAGAGTGTATGTGACCCCTATAAATTACCCATATTGCAGAGCCCAATTATCTGGAAGCACACCAGCTCTCTCTGTTGTCGTGCTGTCAGGGATCTCTGACAGTCAGAACAGTAATTCCATAGTAAGGACTAGATGTGACAGCCCGTTCCAGACTTCTAGTAACACATTCATTATTACCATAAATTCCAGCAAGAATTGTCTTTGTCAGGGGCACCTAGGTGGTGCAGTGGATAGAGCTCTGGCCTTGGAGTCACAAGTACCTGAGTTCAAATCCGGCCTCAGACATGTAACACTTACTAGCTGTGTGACTCTGGGCAAGTCACTTAACCCTGACTGCCTCACTGAAAAAAGGGGGGAAAAAAAAAAGAATTATCTTTATCACGGATCTATGCCATAGAAGGAACCAGAGCGTCCCTCCTTTTGGTCCCACTATTAGGTAATTATTTTACTACTTCTAGACCCACTTTTCAGTAAATACTTTTTCTGCTTTTTAAAATAGTAATACTTTTGTAACATTGATGGGTCCATGATGTCATCAGTTTCAGGAATACTTCCACTGATCTATATTGGATTCCCCCATCTTACCCTACAATTACTCTCTCCATTTCCTTATAAATACTCCGTCTTGGGTCTATACAACATTCTGGAGCCTTTCTTTTGTTCTTTTAGTAATAAAAGCTTACATTTGTATAACATTTTATCATCTATGGAGCACTTTGTTCACAACAACCCTGTGAGATAGGCAAATAATAATCCATCCCATTTTATAGATACAGTTACCAAGGCTTAGTTATGTTAGATGAATTACTCTGGCTGCTCATCTGTGGTTTCTTATTCTTCCTAAGTGACCAGCCCACATCCTTTTCCAAGCATATGGGTCCTCAAAAACATTTTATTCTGCTGCTGTCACACGAATTGTCATTGGTAACATGCTACAGCCTCCTTATACACCCACCATGCAAATTTCCATTGCCCTTTCAGTTGTTTATAATTTGAATTATTCTGAGATTGTAGAGTTCCATGACTCATAGCCATGAAGAATCCTACCCTCAGTAGAGAGGAGAGAGAGAGAGAGAAGAGACAGAGAAAGAAAATGGTGCAGTAGAAAGTGTGAGGAATATAACATTAGGGGAGACCTGGGTTCAGACAGGAGATCTGACCCTGATTAGCTGTGGACCCTAAACAGGTCATTTTACTTCTGAACCCCCATTCTGTGTGTGTGTGTGTGTGTGTGTGTGTGTGTGTGTATCCGTATCCTTAGTATCCTCTACTCTCTACTCATAGTCCCTTCAAGAAAAGTGCTTAAATCCTAAAATACTAAATAAATAGGAAAACCTTTACTTTTCACTAGAGAATTCCTTTGTTTCAACTTTATAGAGGTTATCTCTTATAACATTTGTGTAGAGCTATGGAAAAAATACTTCCTTCACCACCTTTTGATGTTAGTAATCTGTATATTGTTATTAAACAAAATTACCTCTGTAATTATATTCTCATTTTTTAATAATCCATACATGAGAGACTTTGAAGGCTGAATTTTCTTTACCAAGTTAATAATTTTATTAAAATTAATAAATGCAGCTACATCTGAAATCCTTTGTACCCCATTCAGTTACGTGACAAAAAAAATTAGGGTGTGATCTAGGAAGAATGTCTGTGAAAGCCTGCTGATTGCTTTTCATCAGGGCCCCTTCACATCTTCGTAGACCATTGTCACATCAAGTGGGATAGGGAACAAAAGGAGATTAAACAGAGTTATGACTGTTGCTACCGCATATGCAGTAATGACTTACATGTGTGCATTTCTTTTGGAAAAATGTCCATGATTGTAGCATTCAAGTTAATGGGGAACTAAAACAACCAGAACCTAGTATTTCCCATTGGCTCTTAAGTTACCAGTAATACTCCACCCAACCAGTCATCAAGGATTTGTTAAGTATCTGCTATGTACTGTGCTAGGTTTGGGAAACACAAAGATAAAACTGAAACTGTGTCTTATATTTTATCAAGAGAAACAACACATAGGTTGCTCCTTGAAAACATGGACTGTCTGGCCTTTTCTGTTTGTACCCCCAGTGCTTGGCCATAGTCAGTGCTTAATAAGTGCTTGTTCATTCATTCGCTTCCTTCAGGTACATACAAAACAAATATAATTTAGGGGGAAGGCACCAGCATCCAGGGAAGGAGGGGAATGGAACAGTTGTCCTGTAGGAGGTGGCGTCTGAGTTGAGCTTTGAAGGCAGTTAGGATTGCAAGGGGTAGGGCTCGAGAGGGAGTGTGTCAGTCATGGAGATGGGGGGTGGAATGTTGGGTGTGGGGAGTAAACAGTAAGCCATCCAATGGAGTGTGAAAGGGGCATATGATAAGCCTAGAGAGGTCATTTGGAACCAGGTTATAAAGGGCTCTAAATGCCAAACCAGAATTCTTATTTTATCCTAAAGGTGATGGGGGCCACTGGAGGTTACTGAGCCAGGGAGTAAGGTGGTCAGGCTTATGCTTTAGGAATACAGGCTTGCCAGCTGTGTGGAGGGTAGATTTTGAGGGGAGAGAGACTAAGAAGGAGGCCATTGCAAAAGGCCAGGCAAGAGGTCATGAGACCCTAAAACAGAGTGGTCACTGTATGAGAGGAGAGTAGCAGAGTTTGAAATATGCAATAGGAGTTGGTAATATGTGAGTGGAACCCAGGACAGAGAGTAAATTTGGACAGATAGAGTTAGGAGTCACTTGTATAGGATTGATAATTGAACCCATGGGAGCTTATCAGGTCACCAGCAGAATGTAGAGAGAGAGGAGAAGTGGGCACAGGAGAAAGCCTTGTGTGTCATCCGAAGTGGGGTGGCAGATATGGATCATGAACCAGCAGGAGAGACTGGGCAGGAGCATCACTGATAACTTTGGAAGGAGCCATTTCATTGAGTAGTGAGGTCAGAAAAGTGAGTGAAAGAACAGGAGGATGCCTGAGTGTAAATGGCTTTTTCAAGGTGCTTGGCAGAGAAAGGAAAGGAAAATATGGGATAGTGGGGAAGAAGGAGAATCCGGGATGGGTAGAGGAGACAGTGCTGTTTTTTCAGGTCTCATCTTCAAAGTGCTTTTATAGACGTCTTATGTGAGCTTCTCAATGGCCCTTTGAGAAATTCAAGACTGAGGGGGTGGAAACTGGGGCTTAGAGATGCCCTGTGATTTGCTGAAGGTCACATAGCTTCTAAAGGACAGAATCAGAACTAGAATACATATCGGCTTACTCGACATCCTGTAGAAGGCTACTATGGAAAAAAGCCACTTAAGGTTCTGTTTTTTTCTGGGCCCTTTTCTAGAATCCAAAATGTCCCCAAAGTGTTAATGCCATTTTTATGAGCTTTAATAGCTCCACAGACATACCACCCTGAATACCTCTGATCTCATGTGTTCTCAGAAGCTAAGAAATGTTGGGCCTGCTTAGGATTTGGTTGGGAGACCATCTGGGAATACTGGGTGCTATGAAAATTGGGACTTAGTGGATAAAGCTCTGGGTCTGGAATCAGGAAGACCTGAGTTCAAATCTGGCCTCAAACACTTAATAACTATGTGACCCTGGGAAAGTCACTTAACCTCTGTTTGCCTTAATTTACTGGAGAAGGAAATTGCAAACCACTCCATTATCTTTGCCAAGAAAGCCTCATGGTCAGTATTGGTGTGCTATGGTCCACAAGATCACAAAGAGTCAAACATGACTGAATGACTGAACAACACCAAGAAGTAGCTTTAAATTTTGGAATGGCCTACATTTGAATGAACATTACCCAGAATCCCATTTCTAGCTAATTGGCAGGGTGTATGTGACAATATAAAACTTCACAAGAACATCCAACCAATTCAATATAACACACACAGTAAGTGTCTACAAGATACTACATTAGTTGTTGTGGTTTTTTTTTGATACAGAGACAAAAATGAAGCCAGCCTCAGCCTTACAGAGCTTATATTTTATAGAGGAATTGGAGGTGAAGGAGAGGGAGAGGGAATACAACTGTACTCAGAACATACTAGGATAAATAAATAGAAGGCAACTTGAAGGAAGAAACAGTAACCATTCCCTAGGGTGGGAGACTTCATTGAAGCTGCTCGTGAGCATTTGAGAATCACCAGAGACAACTGGCTGGTGAACAAATGTCCATCTAAGAACCAAAAAGGCTAGTTCTTCCCCATCCCTCACCCCCCACGCCCCCAGATAAACAATTGAAATAAAGCCACCTGGTCACTGAACCAGTATTAGGTAAAGTTTAGGGTCTTAATATAATTGTACACGTCCTAAAGGGAATAAAATGTTACTTAAAACCCGTTGATTTAAGCATAAAGAAAAAGAAAAGAAAAACAAAATTGGGATAGGAATTTATGGAGAATAAACCTTCAGAAAGGCAAGATTCAGAGGTTTGATAAGTTGGTGCCTGCTTTTATAAACTACTTAGAAATTAATGGTGAAATATGTTTCCATTCCAGCAGCTCCTGAAGAGTCATCAGAGGAGACCACAAAGACTCAGGAGTGCAGATACTCAGAAGAAACAGTTCAGAATCCCACAGATACAGGTGGGCTACTTTGGTCTTTTTAGACAATTGCCCCGCGATGGGCAATGAAAACTATAAGTAGTACAAGTATTTTTGAAACCAGAAATGCTTTTCAAGAATGCTTCAGGATAGATAGATTAACCGCTTTTCTTCTCTTCAAAAAGGAAGACTCACAGTGATGGAAAATGTATTCATTTTCAGATAATCATAATAGATAAATAATTAAATGATGTGTACCCTTTGAGCCATTGATGTCACTAATTGGCATATTCCCATAAAGGTTAAAAGATAAGAGGGAATGGCTCTCTCTCTCTCTCTCTCTCTCTCTCTCTCTCTCTCTCTCTCTCTCTCTCTCTCTCTCTCTCTCTCTCTCTCTGTCTCTCTCTCTCTCTCTCTCTCTATCTATATATATATGTGTATATATATATATGTATATATATATATGTGTGTATATATATATATATATATATATATATATATATATATATATACACACACACACACACAAAAGTATTTATAGTAGCACTTTCTGGAAACAGAGTGAATGTCCATTGAAAATGTATACTTTCCATCATCATGCCAACTTTGGAAACAAGTTACATGATTAATGATAGCTAAAACTAATTGACTAATCACACATCATTTTCTGATCACAATCAGATACAGTCTCTGAGCCTCTGGGATGCCACTCAGAAGAAAAGAATGACGCCAACCTTGACAACTCTTGCAAAGTTCCAGAAGAATCTTCTCCAGAGGAAAAATGTCAGGAGCAGGACCCTTCAGACCAGACCAGCCTGGAGGGAACTGCCCATGCAGAGGGCACACATGATGAGCCTCAAGCCCAGACCGAACCCACAGGGCCACTTATTCATGAAGAAACATTGACTCGAGGCTCCACTTTCCAAGAAACTGATGACAGTGACGATGAACCGGTCCTAATCCCAGGTGCAAGATATCGAACAGGACCAGGGCATAGGTCAGTAAGCACTTCAGTTTTGTCTATAATGCGTATCACTCATAGGCCATTATTTGAAACTAGATAGATCTTCTAAGATTGTTGCAGAAGAGAAGCCTAAACTTTTGGACACTTGACTTGCTTTCCCCAAGAGGGTACAGATTGCCTGATTAACATATATGTTCATATTCTTTTTAAAACTAAAAATGATTTACATACCATATTCTTTGGGGAAACATCTTTAAGAGGTGAGTAGAATTTTGTCATTGATGCAAAACTCTAGCCATGAGCCTGGGTCTAAATTTAGAGAGGCAGGAAGCTGAAGGTAGACTGTGGCAGAGGGTTGGATTTAGAACACCAGGTTTATATTTAGCTCACAAGTTACACATGGAATAGCCAGCTTTGTAGAAAACATCTGTCACCCCATTTATACCACTTCTCTAGTGACTATTAATTGAGAAGGCTTGGGTGTATTTTTCTGTATGAGTAGCAGTATTTTTATCTCTAGTTCCTGCTGAACCCAGTGGCTCAATTTAGAAGCAGGGGAAACAGTGCTCATTAACTGAAACCTTGTAAAGAAGGAATGAAATTACTGCAGTCCCTTTTCACAGCTTCTCACCTGCTAATTTAGTGGGATCAAAAGGTTAAGTTTCTGGAAGAACTTGTTTTGTTATTCTGTATTTGATAGACCATTTGAATTTGTCATTATCTTGTTCATCTAGAAAAAAGTTTCTGCAGATAACACCATCCAAGCCAACGTTTCTCTCCCCTTTCTTTCTCACAGAACCAGTTTTATCTTTCAGGTTGTAGTTTAGCAGCAGTGAAATTTCATTTCATCATTTCAAATGTCTAGGAGGAGCCTCTTGTTGAGCAAAATATTTAGACTTTTAACTCAACATGTAATGAAAAAAGTGAGCTGTCATTGAGCTCTTAATCCATTTCACCTTACTACTTAGCAGACCTCTCGAGGCTCCGGAATGGAAGAGCCATGGAAACAAGTTAGGGCAGAGGCACCAAGTTCCAAATGACGTCATACAGTATTTACCTTGGAGGCTCCTGAGAGGAAAAGAATTCTGGCCTCCCTTTAGTCTTGGTCGGATAAGGTCTGGCTGGAGAGAGCATCAAGTTTTTTCATACAAAGCAAGTTCTCTTTCCCCATGGTCAGGCCTGGGCAGATTACTCATCGTCTTGTCTTCTTATTCCCTCTCACTGGCTCTTAGCACCCGCATTGCCCCTCTTATAGAGAAACAGCAGTTACCTTCTCTTTTCATATGTAGGCCTTCCTTAGAACCTATTTGCCATTCAGAGGAGGTTCTAAGGTACAAGGACTAAAACTAAAATTCATTTTTTAAAGAAAAATTGATGGTTGCTAAAGACCAAGTTAGAGAAACAGATTCTATAATATGGTTAATTTAAGTAAAATAGAAAATCAGGCAGTCAGAGAGGTCATCTAATAATAGGATCAGATCTTTAGAACTTAGCATGGAAATGGATCTGAAGGACCATTGTGTCCAGCCCTCTCATTTTACAGGTGAGGAAACAGGCCCAAGAGGCTAAGTGACTTACCTTAGGTTGCACAGAAACCAGGTCTTTGGGTTCCTAGCCCACCATTCTTTTGATCACACTTAACTGCTTCCGTATATATCACATAGTTTTCATTATGGCAGAAACAGAATTTAAATATGGCATTTATAGTAGAATGTGGCATATGTCTACTAAGATTTTGGTTTTTTTAATAAGTGTCTTCCTGACAGGTAAAAGTCATAGAATCGTGGAACTTTAAAGCTAGAAGGGACCATGGGCACCATGTAATCCAGCACCCTTATTTTGAAGAAACAGTCCCAGAGAGATTGGGCTTTTCCATGTTTACGAAGCAAGTGTGTATATGTATGTGTACACACAAGTATATATACACACATACACTCATATATATATATGTATACATACTTGTGTGTAAATGTTTGTATGTATGTATATGTTAAAAAAGACAAAGCCAAGGACTGAAATATCTAGATCTTGTGACTCTCAAACCCCTGCTTGCAAAAAATCACATTTTAATATCTTGCTAGTATTTCTAACACTTAGGCTAAGTCAGGTTTTCTCATTTTTGTAGATGGCAATGTTTAGGCACTAAGAAGTTACATGATTTGCTCAGCACTGTGTAGCCAATAAATACTGATCTCTTAAGTTTGGAGTCTGACATCTAAAAGTAGTCTGGCGAGGCTGCCATGGTAGTCAGACCTGGGTGCTGCCCCTTCCCAACAGGTCCCCTGAGCTTTAAGCTGCGAGCTAGATGCCAGGTGTGTGTGGAGAACTTTTACCCTCTCTCACTGCTGAGAGAAATGATTATTTCTCTCATGTTAATAACCAGTTATTGAATTGGAACTAAGATTTTTCCCTTTTCCACTTCCTCATTCAGAAATCTCCCTGTTAGTTGTTCAGGCAGCCTTTGAAGTGCTGGGCTGATAATGAGAGGGAAAACTCAGAGCTATTCAAAAGGTAAAGAAATTTTAGTTTAGGTGAATTGATGGATTCTGGCCCATTGTGTTACTTAGATAGGTCTGGGCAAAAGTGAATTACCCATTTTTCTGGATTACCGTAAGCAGTGTTAGGAGTATAGATGAGTCTCTTTGACCAAAACTGAGTGATCAGAGTCAAGTTCCCCCAGACCCTTATTAGAATAAGCCCACCTCTCATTACAATATTCATTATGATTATTTGTTGGCCAGTCAGAATTGATTGCCACCCTCAGGAACACCCATTCTTCCAAGGGCATATAAGCATTGAGTGGATTCCGTAAGGGGTCTTTGGCATTTGAGGGTGTCACTGACCTCTTTTATTAATTATTGCTAGCATGATTAATAAAATGATTGATTACCCAGAAACTGTGTCTCTCAAACTTTTTATATGTCACACTGCCATACCAGTGAAATCTACTCCAAAAAAAAAAACCAAAAAGAAGAGGAATAATTTAGATTACATGTGAGTATAGAGCAGCTCCGGGAAATTCTCTTCTTCCATTTATCATTCTTGTTCAAGGCTTCCCTTGGGGGTTCAGGACTAATCTAAGGAAAACTCAATGTATGTAGCACCTCTAGTCCAGGGTACCTAGACCTCTCTCCAGAAAGGCGCATCAATATTGGACAGCCCATTATTACTATGATTTTCTAGACTGGGGACAATTTTGGATTATTCCATGCTTGAGCAGACTCACCTTCTCGTTTCTCAATTCATGCACAAGTGCTAAGATAGATTCAAGGCTGACCCAGAATTTATCCAGTCCCTGAAGGTGGGGAATTGTCTTTCTGATTGATCTTTGGTGTCAGGTCACCCTCTCAGTTTAAGGCTCCAAAACTATATTGCTTACATGAAAGAATGGTAGATAATAAATAGGAAGAACAGCGAAACTCCCAAGAAACTTACAAATTAATGGAAGAATACAGGACAAACAAATGTAAAATACATTTTAAACATATACAACATAAACTTAAAAGACATAAAAAACTAGTCATAGCCATACACATACTGAAGTGATGGAGTGATTGATACAACCATTAGACGCTGCTTCTTTCATAATAAAATTAAGTTTTCCTCTGAGTTACACAATTCATTACTATCAACTGAGCCAAAATTTATAAAAGCAGACTTGGATTCAGACATTAGACAAGCAGTTTCTTTTTAAGACTAAATGTAAGCCTTAGCTTCTAAATTATGTTAAAACCTGTTCAACTAGAATATTTCATAAGGTCCATAATATTGTCCTAATGGGTGTTTCTTTCAGTGATGCAACTTGTAAACCTTCCATTAGGGGCAAAAAAAAAATGCTAATGTTATAGTGAAATACCCTCCTGATAATTTCCATCAGAAGCAGTTTTTGTAGTTCTCCCCTTTCCAAAAACCACTTGTAAATATGAATTATCTACATATTCATGCACTTTCTAATATGTGTATCTTCCAGCTATAAGTCTTTGTTCCAGAGAAACCCAGTGAGTCAGCTTCCTTTCAAAATTAGTAGGAACAGGTGTCTTAAATTCTGCCCTGAAGAGAGAAAAAACCTTCCCAAGTTTGTATTCAGTTTGAGAATCTTCAGGGGTTTCTATTTCCAAGGAGAGAAGATTCCAAAGCTATTCTTTGAGAAGCTCCCACTCCCATAATTTAATTTGGCAGACTTCAAGACACCCTCTCCAAGTTATAACTTTCCAGATTTGGATGAAAAATCACAGTAAAAGGACATGAGTCTTACAGCTTCCTCCCAGCACCCTGCAAGAGAAAGAATCCAGAGACTGATTTGGAATTCAGAATGCTTTAGGTCCATAAGGAATAAGATGTATGCTTTGATAAGCATGAACAATTACCCACTGCTACATATTTCTGTTCTGTACGCTTCTATTTCTAAGTGACTATAGAAATATCCCAGCTTTTTTGAGGCCTCTTCACATTACTTAGAACAAAGCCATTTTTTCACAAAATTTTGCACCAGTTTTGTACGTGTGCCATCAAGGCTAGGACAGCGCCTTAAAGTGTAAAGTAAGATTCAAATTTTCATTCTTTTAAATGCGTTGGGAAAATACGACTTAGATTTTTTTTTTTTTGCTGAGATCAAGCATGAGAAGAAAATGTTTTAGAAAAAAGGCTTTAACAACTAACATAGAGACTTTAAGTGGAATGCTCCCATTAACTCTAAAAATATGTCCCTGGAACTCTCTACAGTAAATTAAATAAATCTTAGAGAATAACTAGGTTATGCACTTAGTGAAATACCTCACTCACTTGTTGGCAATCCAAATATTAAAATGTTGATTCAGCAGTTGGTCTCTCTTAAGTCTGTCTGTGAAAGGGACCTCATAAGTGGAAAATAAAAAAGGAATAAGTAAACAGTATCAGAAAGAGAACCATAAACCATTACAAAAAGATACAGTATCTTTAAGGTTTTTTATAGTGATTGATTGTCATGTGGTTTAACAGCTAAAAAGGCAGCAAACAGATTCTGAGCTAGATATTGACGGGGGGCTACATAGAATTGTACACAACAAAAACCAGATGTGGAGCATGTTTTCAGAAATATGAATACACACTCAAATCCACTGCAAACATGTCTGTCTCTAATGAATGAAGTCCTTGAATTCTTATGTACCCAATTAGCTGAGATCGGCATTTTTTGTGAAGATTAGTGACTCAGTACATTTCCTTACAGTTTGTAATGGGGTCACACATTGTTATTGTGACTGTGCTATTTAAAGGAATAGAAGGACCAAGCCCAATCATTTTTCCTCCATGCCAACTTCAGTTATTCTCGATGTCTTAGTTTCCTCATACACTTTTAAGTACCATCTTCCTTATTTACTATTCCAAATGATAGGGGAAAGCTTCAGTCTTTTTAGAATGAGGTAATTGATCATGCAAATGGAGGACTTATACTCATTTAAAGATTTGACCCTTTGAGGAGTTTGTGAATGACTTTAGTCATTTCATTTTGTATTCCTTTCACTAGATTTAATGTCAGAGGAACAGCAATAGGTGATAGAATAATGAGGTAATTCAATATCTTCTTTCCTTCCTTTCTTCCTTCCTTTTTTCCCTCTTTCCCTCCTTCCTTCCTTTTTTCCTCTTTCCCTCCTTCCTTACTTCCTTAATGATGAATCTGCTAGGTCCTCATTTTCCATGCTAACCATTTTTCCTATTAACAGTTAATACTTTGTTTAAACTGACTGAACTTTAAATGCTGCACCTTAAAAAACAGGCTGCTTTTACCATCTGTATTTAGCTGCATGAACTGCATGGGAATAGAATGAAAAATATGATTTTGTGCAGATAGAACCAATGTTAACTTCTCTGGTATGTTGAATGAAAGAGAAACTTTGAAATAAATGTTCTTGAAAAACAGCATACTTATTCTTAAAATTTTTATTTGGAAAAAAGCTATTTGTTTCCTTTAAATTTGAAACTAGATTTTGAGTAACGATAAGTAACATGTATTAGAATTCATCATTCAAACATATATAATTTGCTTTATCAGTGACAAAAACAAAATTATTCTGTATAGAGGGGTGTGTGTGTGTGTGTGTGTGTGTGTGTGTGTGTGTGTATGTCTTTTTTAAAGAGTTGTTTCTTTGGTTTTGTTTTTTGTTGTTGGATTTTTTAGTGAGGCAGTGGAGGTTAAGTGACCTGACCAGAGTCACACAGCTAGTGAGTGTTGTGTCTGAAGCTGCATTTGAACTCGGGTCCTCCTGACTCCAGGACCAGTGCTCTATCCACTATGCCACCTAGCTGCCCCTAAAGCGTTGTTTCTAGTGGTAAAAATGACTAATTACTTTAGGATATCATAATGTCAAGTCTTGAATTTTCTTCCTTCACACTTCCCTCTTCTTTAAGTCTGTCAAACAACTATTTAATGTTGTCGTTGTTTAGGTTTGTTTACTTTTTTATACAGTACTTTTCAATGAACTTCCATCACTATTAGTCATCTTCCAAAAACTTAGTTTGGGTATAAAATCTACCTTATCAGAACAGAGGCAGAAGTCAGGTGGGTTATAAAATGAAAGTGAGGCCAAAGGGAAGGGAAGGAATAACAGTATAAGCCACAAGCTGGAGTTTTCCAAATAAAAAGCTGTGTTCTATTGCATATCTGTTTATGCTGATTTTAGGGTTGTTAGTACCTTAAGGGAGATTTACAGTCTTATCTTGGTCTTTACTGATTTCCCATCGATGGCTTGTTGTGGCTTTGTGATTACCAGCAATGAGGCAGACTGTGTCAGCCCTGGTCTTGTTAGTCTTCTCCCTTCTGCTCTATGGACTAAGTGGTGATTCCTGGATTCTCAGAAGAGAGTCCAACTAAAAGAGCTGTGATGTTTTCAAATAAGTTTAGGAAAAATAAAACAGACATGTAGAGATGGTTATGAACCAGTAACCAGTTTCAGGTAGTTAGTGCTTACAGATAGCTACCATCTTCTTTCAAAAGAGACTACAATTGTCAGACAAGGTGCAACTTACCTGTAGTCCCTGCTATTGGGGGAGGCTGAGGCTGGTGGATCCCTTGAGTTTGAGAGTTCTGAGCGGCAGTAGGGCAGTCTGACACGAACATGGTGAGCTTCTGGGAGCTGAAGACCACCAAACTGCCAAAGAAGGGGCCCACTGAAAAATGGAGGAACGTAAAGCTTCTCTGCTGATCAGACCTGTCTGTGGCTTCCAGCCTGAGCACAAGAGGGAGACTCGATCTCGAAGAGAGAGAAACACTACAATTACTCCCCAAAATAGTTAATTCTTAATTGTCCTCATGTGGATTATCCATGATGCGTTTCTGATTGAGGGCAGTTTCTCCCCTTCTATCTGTAGCATACTTCTGGTTAGCTTTCCCTACCATCGGTTGGTATGTGTTCAGAAAGTACAAATTCATGTTAATATTCATTAAGTAAAACATAATTAGGTAAATCTCCTGTTACCAAAAATAACAATATGTTCCAAAACTGAAATTCTTATTTTCTATTTTGGATCATCTTTGCCTCTGTTTCCCTCTGTTAGTACTGATACCAGATATCTAGCTTCAAGATGAAGAATAGAATAAGATTTAAAGCTGGAAGGGACCCTCAAAGTTAGCCCAGCCCCCTCATTTTATACTTGAGGAAACTGAGGCCCATAGGGTTTGAGTGACTTGCCCAGTGTCTCAGATGATTTGAACAGAGGTCCCTTGTCTCCAAATCTAATACTCTTTCCACTTGACCATATTGTTCCCTTTGTCTCTCATGAATGAAGGTAGTCCTGAAAATATTCCCATTTGACATCACAATTAATCCTTCCAATAACAATAAAGTGATCTCTCACAAATACTTACCCTCCCAGAATTGGAGGACATAGAAATATTTACTCCTGCTATTTGTCCATTTCCCATTTTCTTAAGCATTCTTTTGCTTTCATTAACACTTTTCTCCAAATGCTAAAGTTCCCTCTGGTAAAGTACTAATCCTTATTATCAGTAGGAAGTATAAAAGCTAATGTGCAGAGTCATTTGTTTATTCATCATGATTTTACTTTGAGATTATTTCTTACATTTAAGAAGTGAAAGAGAATATTAGAAATGAGTTGAAGGCTAGTCTGAATTAGCAAAAGGTATGTCATAGAATATTGGTTAATGAATGGAATTTTATTACTCTCAATTAGGATACAGTAAATCAAATGAGGCCAAGAGGTCCTAAAAGGGACCTGGTTTTTAAAAATATGTTTCTTTTTATTTTGTTAAATTTTTCTCAATTACATTTAAAACATTTTTAACATTCATTTTTAAAAATTTTGGGTTCTAAATTCTCTCCCTTCCTCCTGCCTCTCTTTTTCCGCTTGAGAAGGCAAGTAATATGATATTGATTATACATGTAAAGACATGCACAACATTTCCACATTCATCATGTTGCATTCATTCGTCATGAATGAGAAAGAATGATTTTTAATTAGAATATATATTGAAAACTTTCCTCTCTGGCCCTTTGCCCCCTGAGAGGTACATAGGTAACAACAACAAGGATCTCAGTAGGATGGAATCCTCGTTAAGGAGGAGATATATATTGCTGAATGATTGTGGCTGGATAAGGGCCAAAAGTGGTCATGGGGAATGAGGAACTTTGATTCCTTCCTTTCTTCCTTCCCTCATTATCAAAATCCTCCCATTTCTTCAAAGTTCAGATCCCATCTCTTCCGTGAACTCTGCCCTGATGACCCAAGCCAGAAATGATCTTCCTGTACTCCAGCCTCTCCAGCCCCATGTTTCAGAGTCAGTTTCTAGAAAGAGTGCTGGACGTAGGGGCAGGAGACTCCTCAGCTCACAAACCTCTCTCACATCCACTGTTCTGTGAGCCTAAGCAAGTGACTCAACTCCTTTAGGCTTAGCTTTTTCCTCTTTCGTAAAATGGAGATAGCAGTGCCTCTGATGCCTGCCTCATAAAATTACCATGAGGATCCAGTGAGGTAATGCATATCTGTTATTAAGGTCATAGACAGGTCTCATCTCCCCCAGTTAAATTGTAAGATACTGGGAACCACATCCCACACTTCCTTGTGGGATGTAGCACATTTCATACACATTAAGTGCTTGCTCAGTATTTGTCGGCTGAGTGTGTGTGTGTGTGTGTGTGTGTGTGTTGGAAATAAGGAAATATGAGTGAGTCAGAATTCAAAGTAATAGATGGTCTTCCTCATTTTGTTTCCTTTTGCTTTCTTGGCTTTACCCCCCTCTGAGGTTACATAAAGGCCTTAAGAGATAATTATTTAAGATCACATGACTTTAAATTTAAATCCCTTTAAATGACTTGAATTCAAGTCCTCTGATTCTTAATGCAGTGATCATTTCATTGTGAAGCCAGAGGTGGATAAAGTAAGGCTGAGCTTACTATAGAAGTTGGGTTGTAGAGGGTAGCAGCATCTTGTGCAGCCAGTACTGGCCACCTTTGGCACTGATTTCCCTCAGGTGATTTTGGACTGATCAGAGCGTCGGTTAGTTGATGGAGCATGTCCATGTGGCAGGGAAAGGAATGGGAATCTGAAGGTCACCCTGAAGATGGGGGATAGAGCTCGATGACCATTGGACCCTGGGGCTAATAGAGTTCAATCAGATAACCTGATAACCTCTAATGTGCCTTCCAGCTTTCAGTCAATGATACTGTATCTCTTCCTTTCATATTCCATCTAGTACCCACAGAAAGCCATCTTCCTCTTAAGGCACCGTGTCTCTGGGAACCCTCTCCAAGACTCATACTTTATATTGCTTCTCTCGTGTATCCTGACTCTTAGGGCCAGTTCTTTGTCGCCGTCATTTTTGTACCTCTAAGACACTCCCCATTCTCCTAATAAGTTCCTTACTCCACCCCAACCCTTTTCTGTTTTTGGTTTTTTTCCCCCTAAACATTCACATTCAGGGTTAAGTGATTTGCCACAGGATCACACAGCTATTAAGTGTCAAGTGTCTGAGGTCAGATTTGACCTCAGACTCCAGGACCCATGCGCTATCCATTGCACCACCTAGCAGCCCCCAACCATACCCTTTTCACCCACTAAGAATATTCTGGTCTGTTGAATCCATGACCTTTCACATATATACTTCAATCATACATGTAGTGATACTTTAAACTCTCTCTCCCGACTTAAATTGCCTCCCTGATATGTGAAATCCTAGTTACAGCTCTGCCCTGTGGGACCCAAGGTTTACTTTTCTTCTTCTTGGCTTTGGGAAAATCAGTCGCTAGATTGCAGATTTGCATTGAGGCTATGAGAAATGCCCATTTCTATTGGGAAAGTACTACCAAGCTCTGCTGACCTCATTTTTACTCTGTGTGGTTGTTTTTTGTTTTTTTTTTCCTGAAGTACTTAGCAGTTTGTTCTCCAAAGAGTTTAAAAACATTCTTTCCAAGAGAATGTCTATACTACTAACTTGCTTAACTCAACATTTTTCTTAGATGACACAAAGGTAAACATCAGTCCAGGCTTTCTTGGTCATCATGTAAGTTCTGAATTTAGTGGCTCCAAATTGATGAGGTGCTCCAGAATAGAAAA